CGGGGCCCCATGCCACGCATCTTACGTGTCCCCAAAGGAAGGGTTTGCAAGTCTCCTCATTCAGTCTGAAGTAGAAGCAATTGCTGGAAACTGGTGCTTTTGAGCCCAGTCGTCCAGGGCAACTGTTTGAAAGTTAAGAAGCAAAAGAGAGTCCAGAGAGAGGACCTATTTGTGTTTCAAAATTCCGAAGAGTAGCAGGACGTGCTGGGCTCCTTTGCAGAAATGCAGGTGGCTGCCCACTTTCAGTTTTCTGAACCACCATTTGGGTCACTGGAACCAACTCTCTAATCTAATGGGTGCTGTGCCCTACTGTGGGGCTCATTTCTCTCGATGGTCAATCTGCTGGTCCCTGATCGGGTTACCAAATGCTGGTGTGTTGATGCTATTTGTCTTGTTCCAGTGGCTATGAGTCCGAACTGGGGTGAGGTCCCTGACCGCAGACCCCCTGGGAGGGATTGCTTTGCCACTCAGCTCTGGTGAGCTCACACCGTGGGTGGGACATGCTCATTTGGTGATTACGACAGGTTCCTCCAGACAACAGTTCTCCAGTCTCAGCCACCAGTTTGACTAAGGAGAAGGCTACCTGTAGGGAGAAGCGGACTACTTGTGCCTTCTCTTAGCATCTGCAGTAGACGTGACCATCTCTGGCTGCCTACAAGACCACAACACTTCCTTTGGGGAACACGTGAGTGAACCTCATCCGAACATTGATGACTGGTCTCCAGGACACTTAGTGGAAGACCAAGAGGGTTGTGCCCTTTACCATGGTGACTCGGCACTCCAGACTTTGCAGGACATACCTGTGGTGTCTGTCAAGAACATCTCCAGTATAAGGAGAGATGCTAACGATTGTAAAAGTAGCTCTAGTTTTGCCGAAGTCAGAATCCTTCCTCCTCAGGGACGCACCTGATTGTCAGGGTCACTCGTGAAGTTCATTACCATGAACGGCTTGTTGTCATGGGTGACCTTGACTTCAATCACAGACTCAGGCTTCAGCCCCCAAATCTTAATGTAGCCAACCTTCAGTGGACGGGAGTCACTCAGATACTTATTGTGTACAGTCTGGATCTGCAAGGTATCCTGTAAAACAATTTTAAAGGAAAAAGTAAATACACAGGGCATGTGTTAACCAGCCATGCCTGTGTTAAAAATGCTAAGAAAACTCAACTGCTTCTGCGGTACTGATCTGTGAGCATTGGATGGACGTGTCATGAAGACATACCTCCTGAGGATGTTTTCAATCAATCTGACGATGATGGAAACACATATGTGAACCAACTTTATGCCACTCACCCAGGCTACGTCATTGCTAATTTGTACAGGGTTTGCAAAGGAAGGCATTGAGCCTACGCTCTGCCCCGCCTTTGATTGGCCAGGAAATAGAGGGTCTGGGAGATGACGTGATGAAAGGACACATGTTTGAATAGCCGGAGGAGCCCACATGTGTAGACCCTCGAGACTTGATGCAAGACACCCAAAGGTGCAGAGACTCCTGCCATTTTTGACAAATGCCGGCACTGGTTTAAAGCGTGAACTGCTGAAGTATCAATTAGTAGACAGATCCCTGGCTGTCTCTCGAGTGGATTCTGACCCACAGCAGCCCTACTGGACAGAGTGGACCGGCCCCTTGGGGCTTCCAAAGCTGTTATCTTACAGAAGCAGGATCCCACCTCTGTCTCCTGTGAAACAGCTGGGGTGGGAGGCTCGAACAGCTGACCTTACAGTTCTCAGCCATGTGCTTAACTACGGCACCATCGGGCTCCTCAATACAAGGGTTGAACTAGGAGGGGGTCCATCACTAGGCGGCCTCTGATGAAGGCCCACAGAACGGCCACAGGGTATGTGTGTTCGGACTGTCCCAAGAAAGGGAGACCCAGGCAAGAAGGACGTAGCATGCGCTCCACAGGCTGAGGTGCAGTCATGTTGGGGAGATTTGGTGCTTAAGCAGATCACATAATTGGGAGGAGGGGTACCAGAAAGCACATTTCTGGTGGCTAAAAGGTTAAAGAGTAAATACAGAT